GCTTCTTACAGATAGATGCCAGACGTTGCCTTGCAATGTTGTTTACAGAAAATCAAACATGTAAGCAGAAAATAAAACTTTCAGGTACTTGATGCAAAAGCAGGAACAGTGTACAGAGATTGCCAAAGTAAGTCAGTACTTCCAGGGGAAGGGATAGTAGTGATGAAAAGCTTTTGAGAGTGTAGGCGGCAGAAGGGAAGGTAAATTTTCCTGATGTGGAATTGTGGGAACGGACATAATGAACATGCCCGTAATCTCTCTGAGTCCCGTTGGCCCTTTGTGAATGGGAATGGCTCCTCCTTCCACCCCTCCTCTTGGTATAAAGTGCCAGGTATAGCTCACGGCACATAATGGTCTAAGGAAATATTTCTTTGCTTGGTTACTTTGGGAAGCCATACCCGGGCCTCTCTCCCTTCTGCTTCCTTCTCTGCAGACCTATACCAGATTTACAGGTGCACCCCTGAAGGTACACAAGATCAGCAACCCTTGGCAGAGCCCTTCAGGTATACAGGTGACCCTGTGAGGAAGGGAATTGTGAGGGGCGGAGCAGGAGTAGGCAAGCTATGATCTATGGACATACTTCTTTCTCAATATCAGGAACTCTGCCTGCCCTTCGAACCAGTAGTGGAGAGGTTATCTCAGTACCGCACAAGATCCTCACCCATCTCCGTAAAGAGGTAGGTGGCTGGACAGGGGTGACAAGGAAATCCAGTCGACACATGCCAAGTGAGATAAGGGTGTTCCAGAGCACCAAGGGTGGGGTGAAGACCGTATCACTGTGATAACCACATACTGAACGTAGAGGACTGTGGGGAAGGGGCAGACTGAGATCCAGTTTATTCTGAATGCTGGGTAGGGCGGGAGAAAAATGAGGGAGGCTGATGAGACATGGGAATAAAAAGGAATAGAGAACGGCAGTTGGCTTTGGGGAGGCCCTGGAAGCAGAACTAGAAAGGAACTTCTAGAAATAGGTATGGGGGTGCATACATATAATCCCAGTACTTGGTAGAAGCAGGATGATGAGAAATTTAGAACCATCTTTGGCTATATAATGTGTTTGAGGGCAGCCTGGGATACATGAGACCTTGTCTCAAAAAGAGAAAAAAATCAGGTTTCATGGTGGACACATTTAATCCCGGCACTTGGAAGGCAGAAGCAGGCAAATCTCTGTGAGTTGAAGGTCAGCCTGATCTATATAGTGAGTTCCAGGCCAACCAGGGCTAGATAGTGAGACTCTGTGAAAGAAAAAAAAAAAGAGTAGGTGGTCAGGCTAGAGAATGAGAGAAAGGAAAGAAGAAATTTCTAAGGCTATCTTGTTTCAGGGGCCAAACTATGCTTTAGAGGGGATTTGGGATGGACAGAGCTCAGTGCCAGGCTGAGAAATTCGAAAGAGAATTATAAGAGCTTGGGAGGCCTTAGTTCTGTTCTTCTGCTTTTGACTGTGATGTGAAACAAGTAACTTAACTTTTCAAAGCAATAAATTCTCCAGGCAATAGTGGTGCACGCCTTTGCTCCCAGCACTTGGGAGGCAGAGGCAAGTAGATCTCTGTGAATTCAAGGCCAGCCTGATCCAGAAAGTGAGTTCTAGAACAGTCAAGACTACATAGAGAAGTCCTGTCTTAAAACAACAACGACAAAAGCAATAAACTCTTGTTTTTGTTTTTAAATGTTTATTTATCTTGTGGGGGGGTGTGCACGCATGCTGCAGCATGCTTGTGGGTGGTCAGAGGACAGTTTTTGGGAATAAGTCCTCTCCTTCCATGTGGGCTCTTGCGATGGGACTCATGTTCTCAAGCTTGCTAGTAAGTACTTCTACCTGCTGAACCATCTCGCCAACGAGAACTCTTTAAAACTTGGGGGCTTAGCCAGCATGCTTTAAAAGGTCTGGCATTGGCCAGGCGGTGGTGGCGCACGCCTTTAATCCCAGCACTCGGGAGGCAGAGGCAGGCGGATCTCTGTGAGTTCGAGACCAGCCTGGTCTACAAGAGCTAGTTCCAGGACAGGCTCCAAAACCACAGAGAAACCCTGTCTCGAAAAACCAAAAAAAAAAAAAAAAAAAAAAGGTCTGGCATTGTGGTGTTGTTCCAAGAGGGAACACACCATCAGAAATAGGAGCCTCGGTGTTGTTCCAAGAGGGAACACACCATTAGAAATAGGAGCCTCGGTGTTGTTCCAAGAGGGAACACACCATCAGAAATAGGAGCCTCTTTCTCATCTCTACTTTCCAGGGAGCTGGGAAAGTAATAGAAGCTTAGAGGCCCGGAGAAATAGAATCCAAACAAAAGCCAAGGTTCCTGGCAGGACCTGGGTTCCTGCCTTGATTCCTTACATATAAACACAGCGTTTCCAATTTCCAAAGTGTTTTTTCCTAAATTATTTCCAAACCCAGCCACACGGAGAGAAAAAGATTACTATCTCATTCCATAAAGGAGAAAGTGAGGTTTGGGAAATTTAAGTATCATACTCAAGAGGTTGTCTGGGGACAAAGCTTTTTAGTACATGGAAGGAGCCACTAAGCCCCAGACTGAAGCCTGGAAAAGTAGGCCCCACTAAGACACGAGTCCTGGCAGGATGTATGTGCAGTGATGGCACACAGGCTTTGAGTGAAGCAGAGGAGAGCCAAGAGCTTAGTCATGAGAGACAAGTTGGAGGTGGGGGTGGCTGGGCATAAATTTACTGGGTTCAAGGAGGGTAAGGATGGTGCCCCCTAATTTCTGCATCACGGGCTGAGGCCCAGCCCGCAGTGAGCTCCGCTCTGCTGCTCCGCGGTGTCTGGATCAGGAAGCTACTGTTAGAAAGTTGGCTGTCAGCGGCATGCTGCCAGCTTTCCGTGGAAACTCTGGGAGCTGCTCCCACTGTGCGGCCAGGCCTCCTTTCTTCCCCCAGTGGGTGCAGGACCTCACCAGCCAGTGGGCTGCAAAGCCCAGGCTTTCTGCCAACAGCAACAGGCTACTGGCTGGGCTGAGGCAAGGAGTCCTGAGCAGGCAAAGCTCCCGATTCTCCCTCTGCTATGCTCAAAGGCTGGTGTGGGGTACCATCCCTTCTGAGAGCGTGCCCTGCACTCCTTTAGTGTTCACCTCACAAACATTTCTTCCACAGAAGTATAACGCTGACTATGATCTATCAGCTCGGCAAGGAGCGGATACCCTAGCCTTCATGTCTCTGCTGGAGGAGAAACTCCTCCCTGTGCTGGTGAGTACGTCTGGCCCTAAGCATGCACAGCCTGTGAGAAAGGGGGCAGACATACACATCAGAGCAACACGGGGCTTAGAGTTCCACCCGTGATAGGCAGGTGCACTGGCTCACATTTCCTCTCCTCTTCTGTCTGCCCGACCCAGATACATACTTTCTGGGTAGATGCCAAGAACTATGTGGAAGTGACCCGAAAGTGGTATGCAGAGGCTATGCCCTTTCCTCTCAACTTCTTCCTGCCTGGCCGCATGCAACGCAAGTACATGGAGCGGCTGCAGCTGCTGTGTGGCGAGCACAGATCAGAGACTGAGGAAGAACTAGAGAAGGAGGTAGCACTGGAACAAATGAGAGGGCTGAGAATGAAGAGTGTCCACAGTGGGGGTGCCACAGCTCCCCACCACATTCCTGTGTCCTTCCCTACAGCTCTATCAAGAGGCTCGGGAGTGCCTAACCCTGCTTTCTCAGCGCCTGGGCTCTCAGAAGTTCTTCTTTGGCGATGCGTGAGTCTTAACTCCAAGGGGAACAAATGGATGTGTGAAGAAAATCCAGCTTCAGGTGTCAAAGCCTGAACTGGGGCGTGAACAGGAAGTTCTTAGGACAGGCACTGACTCTGGTCGGGGACGGCATATGGGGCTAGAAGCTCCTTGGTGGTACAGGAGGGAACTGTTGGGCTGTGGGGCACTCAATGTGTCCTTTATGCAGCCCTGGGATAGAGCTTCATTCAGGGCCAGGCTGGCGCCACCTGGGGGAAGACTCCCCTCACCAAATCCAGAGCTAGGTGTCCTGCCCTTCCCCTGGTGACCCCTGCTGCCCAGAGCTTACTCCACCAAAGCAGACTTTTTCCTCTTGCTCCATGCTGACCCTCTGCACGGTTGTCCACTTCCATCCCACCCTCTTCTGTCTCTCCAGCCCTGCCTCCCTGGATGCCTTTGTTTTTAGCCATTTGGCCCTGCTGCTGCAGGCAAAGCTGCCCAGTGGGAAGCTGCAGGCCCACCTTCGTGGGCTGCACAATCTCTGTGTCTACTGTACCCACATCCTTAGCCTCTACTTTCCTCGGGATGGAGGTAAGGAACGGATGGGGAGGAGGGGCTGGGGTCCAAGGACTACCTCCCTTGCCCACTTTCTTTTCTTGTCCCCTAGCTGAGGTACCACCTCCACACCAGACACCAGCAGGCCCTGAGACCGAGGAGGAGCCATACCGACGCCGGAACCAGATTCTGTCTGTGCTGGCAGGGCTGGCAGCCATGGTGGGCTATGCCTTGCTCAGTGGCATTATTTCTATCCAGCGGGCATCTCCCGCTCGGACCCCGAGCACCCGGGCCTTGGGCATGGCTGAGGAGGATGAAGAAGAATGATGTGTTCATGCTCTCAGGACTGATTTTTCTACTGTCATGCATTCCAGATGCCCCATTGTTAGAGCACCCAGAAATGGGGTGCTATCCCTAGAATAAAGCTGTTCACACTAACTGAGACCAAACATTTTCTTTGTTATGGGTCTGCCATTTTCCTAGCTGCCACAATAGGAATGCATAGGTGTAGGCCTCCCCACTGACACTACTTTAGTCCTTACACTGACTTACATTGCTTTTCTACATAGGTCCATCTTCCCAAATCTTCCCCATCCCTGTCTTGTGTTTACAGACAGTGAACTCACCCGAGGCCTAGGCCCAGTTTCCTCATGCAGCTAGTGCATGCGTGGGGAACTGTGAGGACACCAGGGCTTCCCACCCCTAGCACATTCTAGAAGGGAGAACAAGACACCCAACCCTTGGCCCGCGCCTGTGCCACTGTGAAGTCACCCGGGAGCACATGAGCTAACTCCCTTTAATGTCCATGCTGTTCTGTCACTGGCGCCGCCACAGGTAAGTGTGAATGGAGTAACCAGGTGAGATGGTCTCCAGGAAGCCCAGGTCAGGGTCACTGATGGTAAGAGGAACGTCCTTGGAGGAGCTGGGGAGAAGAAAAGCTGAAATCAACCCGCTGCAGCCAACCCCCAACGCTGCTCAGGCCCAGACCTGCCCTTGTACCCAGCTTACCGGTTTAACACTACTACAACTGCAGAGCCGTCAGGGCGTATCAGTGCCACCGTGTCCAAGTCATTCTTCTCACTGGCCACCAGCCCTATTCTCTGGGATCCCTCAGGAATGAACTTGCTGAATGCAAAGACAGGCAGCATCACGGACTACCCTGAGGGCACTGTTCCATCAAGCTTCACCAGCATCGTCTCTGCTTCTGAGACCAAAGCTGCCTGGGGATGTGCAACTATAGTCCAGCTGTGTGGGAGACCCGGACAGGGGCTGGGACAAGACTCCCTTCACTCCTGTGCTGCTGGGCCTCTGCCCTGTCCTTCATCACGGCTCTAGCATCAGTCACCCAGGGATTACCTGTGACTATGGTGCCACCTAGTCACTTCCTGCCCACATGGTGCAATAGAGGAGGAGTGTGCCTCTCCCAGGGTTGCCACCCTGAACACCTTCCAGCTCCTTCATGGTATAGGATGATGTAAGCCTGCTACGGAGTATGGGTGCCCACCCCCTGCTCACCTGAAGTGGCCAAGGTGGTAGAACATGGGCTGTTTGTAGAATGTGTCTTTGGGGATGTCTACAATAATGGGGCTGTCAACAAAGTTGCGGACCCAGTTGGGCCCTCCCTCAGGATTCAGAGCAAGGTTCCAGTCGGTCCATCCTGCCACGTGGTAAAGAAGGTTCTAGAGTCGAAGCAAGGAAAAGTTAACTTAAAGATGGGTATCCTTAGAGAAGACAGGTGAGAATCACATAAGGGAGCTGGGCTAGGAATGGCTTATTCCTTTGAACGAGTGTCCTGTCTCAATATCTGGAAAGAGGATTGTGAGGATGAGGCATCTCGGAACCGGGAAATTGGAGGCAGATATGGCCCTCTGGCCCCAGACATGAAAAAAAGGACTGATGGGAATATACACCTGTGAAGAAAATGATAACCCTGGCATCCCACAGTTGCCTCAAAGAGCAAGCTGCCAAGCCAGCTGAGAAGGAAGGCCTGTTTGCCTGTCCCAGATGGTCTGTGTGGGAAACTCACCGTGATGATACTGTGGCTGTACTGCGTCCCTCGACCCCAGGAGCCCAGCCGGACACTCTGTTCCCAGAACTTGGAACCCACACAGGCCTCTGAAGCAAAGAGTGTTGTGTTGGGGAACAAGCGGTGTGTCTCCCCTAAAGTGGCTTTGGCTGGAGCCAGAAAGTCCATGTACCAGTGTACAGCGATGCCATGAACGTACTTAGCGGCCTCTGGGTCTGAGAGCACCTACAGAGAGGAGGGAGCATTAGGAATGGGGAGGCCTGGCCACAAGTCCTGCCCAGAGGGCTCTGAAGGGAAAGGAAGTGACTGGCAGGATGGAAGACCTGGGAGCTAAAGTGACAAGACAGCCATAGGGATCCATCAAGCCCTGGAGTCCAGAGATGGTAGTGTCCCAGGCAACCAGATCCAGCCTAGGGATCCACAAATCTTTCTAGATCTGGCAAAGTACTTGCCATGCAGCTGAGGACCTGGGTCTGATCTCTAGCACCACATCCATTCAAGGCCTTGCGATCCTAGCACGGGGCAGAGAGGGACAGGTGAATCCCTGGGGCACAGGGGTAGCAAACCTAGCTTAATAGGTGAGAGACTCAGTCTCAAAAACCAAAACAAAGCAAAGGCCACAGAAAACTCAGCAGCTGTTGGCGAATCTAAGGGCCACACCTGCACATAAAATTGATATCAAGAGGCCAGAGTATGGTGTCTTGCGCCTTTAATCCCAGCACTTGAGAGACAGAGACAAGTTGATCTCTATGAGTTCAAGGCTAGCCTGGTCTACAAAGCTCTTAATTGGCCTTGAAGAAGTCAGGTGTGGTGGCTCATGCCTATGCCAGCACTTAGGAGGCAGGAGGGTGATAACTTCAAGGCCAGCCTAGTGTAGATAGCAAGATCCTATCTCAACTCTGGCATAGGGAAGGTAACCTAAAATTGTAACCAGACATTTTGGGTGGTGACTTGGGATTCACTGGGGCACCCTGAGAAGTCCTAGACCTTACCACCTGTGCCCAGCGGGGCAACAGCAAACGCTGATCATCTAGCATGAATAGCTGGACATCATGAGAACTGCGGGTAAGCACTGGTCCTAGGTCGCGGGCAATGAAGTCTCTCTGATGCTCAGCAGTGAAGCCCAGGCACTGGAAGGGGTACCCAGTCAAGAGTCCTGCAGAAGGCTCATTCTCCACTGTCACGGCCCAGAATTTTATCTTGTACTTAGCATAAGCATCCAGAAACCTGGCAAAAAAGGGCATGTGTGATCAAAGGCAAGAAAGTGGATGGAGACCTTGGGATAGGTCTTGGAAATTTACAATCTGAAAGGCACAGAACGTAGAAAGATGAGTTGAGACGCAAATCTGGAAGTGGAGCAAGCCAAGGGGTAGGATATAGACCATGGTGTCCCAAAGAGGTTGGTACAGACCCCATGCCTCCGATGGTCCCTTACTTGACAAAGTAATTGGCCCAGGTCTGGTGATAGATATCCCCTGGTTGTCCCTTGAGGGACCCTTTTCCATTCACTGCTCCGTTGGTCTTGAGCCAAGTGGGAGATGTCCAGGGACTGGCAAAGAGTGAGATGGGGCGTGGGGACATCTTCAGGGCTCGGTGAATCAGGGGTATCTGGAGATAGATGTCGTGAGGAGAGAGGCACCCAGAATTGGAACACAAACTGGCCCAACCAGTGCATCAGGTCCAACCACCAGCCCCCACCCTCCTACCCCAGGGCAAGTAGGCTGCAGGAGAAGGGTTCTACATGACCTGCAGAAAGTTCTAACCTGGCCCTTCCCAGCTGTCAGTCTCAGACAGCAATACCAATAGGACTGAAGCAGCCAGAATGCCCACCTTGAGCTTGGTGTCTTCTTCTGGGAGGCTGAAGTTGGCTAGCTGGAAGTCATTAGGGGTGTCAGCATAGGTGTAGACACGGATGGAGAAGTCACAACTAGCCATGGGTACCCGGATGATGTTATATTCAATTCCTGCAGAAAAGGATGCCCAAGATAGGGAAATCTGAATCAGTAGAGAATGGAGCTGAGTTTGGTGGCACCATGACATTAGTCCCATCCCTCTAGAGGCAGAGGCTGCCAGATCCAGGTGAGCAGACCAGCCAGAGCTACAAGGTAAGACCCTGTTTCAAATGAACAAATAAATAAAGGGAGGCCTGGCAGTGGTGTTGCATGCCTTAATCCCAGCACTCGGGAGGCAGAGGCAGATGGAGCTCTGTGAGTTCAAAGTCAGCCTGGTCTGCAGAGTGAGTTCCAGGACAGCCAGGACTGTTATATAGAGAAACCCTGTCTTTAAAAAACAAAACAAAACAAACAAACAAACAAAAACCAAAAAGGTGAATATGAAAATTGACTTTAATCACGTCTTAGTCCTCAATAGGTTCTCTTTCAATATGGTCCCTTCTCCAAAGGGAACACAGGGAGTAGGTGTGGAACCATGGAAACCAGAACCTGAGTGAGAAGCCCCTTCTGAGCAGTAAGTACTTAGCAAAATATTGAAAAGGTGATCCCATTTCAGCAGCACTGAGGAAGCAACACTTGGGGGCAAACTTGTGATCCCAGAGCTTGGGAGACCAAGTAAAGAAGAGTTTGAAATCAGTCACAGCTGCATAGAGTGTTCTAGACAAGTCTGATATACAGAAAGAAAGGCGGGAAGGGACAGCGGAAGAGGAAGGAATGAGAGGCAGGATGGGGATGTAGCTCGGGTGGCAGAGCACTTGCCAAGAATGCGTGAAGCCCCAGGTTTGAGCGCCAGCACTGGGTGAACGGTGTGATGACACACATCTATAGTCTAGCTCTCAGCGGACAGAGGCAGGAGGATCAGCACTGACTACACAGTGGATCTGAATCTGGAATACATGAGACCCCCTGGGGGTAAGAAGGGAGGAGGCAAATGACAGGGAAGAACACGAAAGTCAGAGTAAAAAGGCTGGCAGGATGGTTCAGTGGGTAAGGGTGCCTGGTGCCAAGCCAGAGGACCTGATTCAATACCTATGATACACATGGTGGAAGAAGATGACACCTGAAAATTGTTCTCTGACCTCCACACCCATGCACAGTACACACAATAAATAATAAAATGTAATAAAAATTAAAAAAAAATAGGGCTGGAAAGATGGCTCAGAAGTTAAGCACACTGGCTGCTCTTCCAGAGGTCTTGAGATCAATTCCCAGCAACCACATGATGGCTAATAACCATCTGTAACAAGATCTGGTGCCCTCTTCTGGCATGGAGGTGTACATGCAGGTGGAACATTGTATACATAATAAAAATAAATCTTTTAAAAAATAAATAAAGCCAGGGTATAAAAAAATGTATCAATCATAGTGTGTAATCTTGTCCAGACCTCCTCACCTTCACTAGAGAAGTATGATCTGAGCAGCAGATTCTGGGTAGAGGGAGACAAGGCCAGGATGTTGAGAGCAGCAGCGTCTGTCATCGCTCCTCCAAAGCCTTTCACTTTCTGGAACTTCTCTTCTGGCTGCAAGGTCAGTAGTAGTCCTGAGGGCACCGTAGGGAAAGATGGGGGGTAATCAATGTACAGAGGAGAACATACTGATAGCTGATGTGACTCTGAGCCAGGGGACCCAGCTGGGCTTAGAATGAGAACTAAAGCGCCACCTGTGCCAGTGCGGTTGGCCTGGATGGACCCGACACTCAGCTCCATTCGTCGTCCACTTCGAGTGGTCTCATAGCGGCTGAAGGTACCAGGAGCAGGTAAGGTCAGGGGGTCAAGAGAGTCACAGTATGTGGCATTGCAGACACAGACCACTGAGCTGTAGCCAAAACTTTTAGGGATGCAGGGTTGGGCACCTAGAAGGCAGGGGCACAAGCAGAGACAAGCATCAAAGTGGGTGGACGAGGGGAATGGTTGTGCTAATCAAGGAGACCGAGCAATAATTTGTTTGAGCCGGGCGGTGGTGGCACACGCCTTTAATCCCAGCACTCGGGAGGCAGAGGCAGGCGGATCTCTGTGAGTTCGAGACCAGCCTGGTCTACAGAGCTAGTTCCAGGACAGGCTCCAAAGCCACAGAGAAACCCTGTCTCGAAAAACCAAAAAAAAAAAAATAATAATAATAATAATTTGTTTGAAATCCCTCCACTGTACTTCCAGTCCATAGTTGTCTCAGGCACTCTAAAGGAGTTATAGAGTCCCTACTGAAAGTTCTCCACCATAGTGAGAGGTTTCCAAAGGACTATGGGGCAGGGGAATTGTCCACAGTGCCACCCCCCTCTTTGACTTACTTACCATATGCCCATGTTACCGCCTGAAGTAGAAAGAATCCTATAAGCCTGGCAGCCATGACACCTGCCCCACCCAGGTGTTTGAGACACTCCTGAGAACAGAAAAAGGAATGACTAGAAGGTAAGCCCTTCTCTACCCCACAACCCCTCTCCTGACCAGGGTTTAGCTGCCTGTGGATGCTCATAGCTTAGTCTCCATCTTTATTGTGACTGGACAGTGCTCAAAGGCACTGGATGCTCCTCTTTGCAGGCACTGGGCTCGTGAGGTTTCTGTTCACCCCAAAGAGGACTCTCTTCGCTCTCCCCCTCCCCCGCCCACGGATTTCAACCTGCAGCCCCCTCTCCATCTGTGCCTTACTCAGAATTTAGAAAAAGACTCTGTCATTCGTTGAATCCTGTAGTCTGGATGAGCAGAATTTCAGAAGCAAAGTTGACAGGGCAAACAGCAGCCCTGCCCGCTTACCTTGCAGAGGTCTTAAAGATGAGCTCCTCAGAAGCAGTGGGTAAGGAAAAGATTGCGGCAGTTCCAGAGTCTTGGAGACAGATCTGCGAGATAAAAACAGGAATGGAGATAGGTACATAGCTATAGGACTAGCACAGCGAGTTAATTCCGGCTTAAATGGGAAGGACAAAGTCATGTGATGACTAACACAGTCACGTGATAGAGGAAGTGAAGCAATTGAAGCCATGCTTGTAATGGGCAGCTGGGTTTGTTCTGGCTGTTCATTCATTACATACCCTGTAAATCTCTGGGAGGCCTCTGTGGTCGACAGCTCTAGGATGAGGCTAGAACAAGGATTTGTGTGGAATAGGAGCTGAGTAAAGGCTCCTATTTCCAAGCCAGAGGGGACTTAGAGCCTCCAAGGGTCCTGTGCTCACATGCACATACCCACACAGAGATATACATACAGAATTACAAACAGACAAACAGGCAAAATACCCCCACATAGCAGGGCGGTGGTGGCGCACGCCCTTAACCCCAGTACTCAGAAGGCAGAGGCAGGAGGACCTCTGTGAGTTCAAGGCCAGCCTGGTCTACAGAGTGAGTACCAGGACAGGCTCTAAAGCTACAAAGAGAAATCCTGTCCCCAAAACAAACAAACAAAACCCCACATCCACACACTCTTTGCCCTAAGGAGATTATGAGGCCCGAGAGTCAGACAGCTGCACAGTGCTCCAGAGGTAGACAGAAAGAACTGTTGGCAGGTGTGCAGAGAGGACTTCCTGAGAGGAAGAGGGACCCTTTGCGGTTGAAGACCTCTCCATAAAGGGTTCCTGGAGGAGAAGGTGGCTGGAGTTATTACAGTGGCATGCAGGGACTCACAGTCTGGCACTGGGTGGCAGGGCTAAGGGAGGAAGTAATGCCTGCCCACTGGCACTTCCTGATTCCCATGTTGCATCATCAGCTGCTGACTGGAAGGCTATTCATCTTTCCACACAAGACTGGGAGGTTGATGAAGTTCAGAACTGGAGGGCTGTGCAAAGTGAAGCCTTTGGTGGACCCGCGAAGAGGGCTGTCCACGGGGTAAGATTTATTGGCAGTGACACACCGAATGGTCTGTCTGATGCCAGGTCTCTGAGTCTCCTCACAGCAGGACCTCGACGGCAGCATTATCTCACGGAGGCGTTACCGGCTCCGTGAGATAAGCCAAGTGAGCCACTTAATAGGCATCAGAGCTTTATGCTTGTTGACTGCGTCTTTTTATGCTCTTATGATTATGACAGTGAAGTCTTTGCCACACACCCTCTGAAAAATTGATTATTTGTCTTGTATTCTGACAATGTTTAAGGATTGTTTCTGGGAGATACGTAGTGTTTGAGTCCTGGCCACTCACAATCACCTACTGTTTGATTATCATGTTGAGGTCAGTAACTGAATTCCTCTATGCCTGCTTCTTATCCGTGAAAGAGGAGTGGTCACAGGTCTGTTTTGAGAGGAGTACGCTTAGAATAAACAGGGCTGCACACTCAACGTCGCAGCTAAGCAGGCTTTTTAGCAGCTTTTTATAGACTCCCTGAATTCCAGGAAGGGTTGCCTAGGACCTGTTCTCCTCGGGGCCTGACCCATCTAGTTTATGCAGCCACAATTCCACAGCTGTGTGCCGATGGCCTCAGCAATCAACACACTAGCATCTCCAACCAGAGCTTCTCCAACCAGAGATTCTCTTTCTTTCTTTCTTTCTTTCTCTGCCTCCATGTATGCCCACGCGCCAGATCTCATTACAGATGGTTGTGAGCCACCATATGGTTGCTCTTAACCACTGAGCCATCTCTCCAGCCCCTCTTTTTTTCTTTTTTTCTTTTTTTGTCCTGGAATTTAATCTGTAGACCAGGCACACCTTGAATTCTTTTTTTTTTTTGATTTTTTGAGACAGGGTTTTTCCTGTAGCTTTTTAAAAAATATTTATTTATTTATTTTAAATATTTATTTATTATGTATACGATGTTCTGTCTGTGTGTTGCCTGCAGGCCAGAAGAGGGCACCAGACCTCATTACAGATGGTTGTGAGCCACCATGTGGTTGCTGGGAATTGAACTCAGGACCGTTGGAAGAGCAGGCAATGCTCTTAACCTCTGAGCCATCTCTCCAGCCCCTCGCTGTAGCTTTTTGGTTCCTGTCCTGGAACTAGCTCTTCTAGACCAGGCTGGCCTCGAACTCACAGAGATCCGCCTGCCTCTGCCTCCTGAGTGCTGGGATTAAAGGCGTGCGCCACCTCTGCCTGGCTCACACCTTGAATTCTTAGAACTCCGCCTGGCTCTGTGTCCCAAATGCTGGGATTAAAGATATTTTAATTTTGTTTGAATAAGAACTTGATTGTTGCCAGGCAGTGGTGGTGCAGGCCTTTAATCCCAGCACTCAGGAGGCAAAGGCTGGTGGATCTCTATAAACTCAAGGCCTGTGTGAACTACAGAGCAAGATCCAGGACAGCCAGGGCAACACAGAGAAACTGTGTCTCAAAAAACAACATAAAGCCGGGCGGTGGTGGCGCATGCCTTTAATCCCAGCACTCGAGAGGCAGAGGCAGGCGGATCTCTGTGAGTTCGAGGCCAGCCTGGTCTACAAGAGCTAGTGCCAGGACAGGCTCCAAAGCTACAGAGAAACCCTGTCTCGAAAAACTAAAATAAATAAATAAATAAATAAAAACTTGATTTTTTTCTTTTTAAAGACTGATTTATTTTTAATTACATATATTGGTGTTTTGCTTTATGTATGTCTGTGTGAGGGTGTCAGATCCCTGGAACTGGAGTTACAGATGATCATGAGCTGCCACATGGGTGCTGGGAACTGAACCTCTTGAAGAGCAGTCAGAGCTCTTAACTGCTGAACCAGCTCTCTTCAGCTCCCTTTTTTTCTTCTTTGAGACAAAGTTTCACTATGTAACCTTGACTAGAACAAACTATATATACGAGGCTGGCCTGGAACTCACAGAGTTCTGCCTGCCTCTGCCTCCTGAGTGCTGGGATGAAACTTGCACAAGCACACTTACCTCACCTCTTTTTAAAAATGGTTCAATGTGTGTACGGTGGTGGGGAGGGCTGATGGCATGTGCGTGGAGAGCGGAAGACAACTCTGTAGAGTTAGTTTTCTTTCCATGTTTATGTGGCTTCCAGCAATAGTTGAGCCATCTGGCCCATCTGTTACCCCCCTTTTTAAAAACTAAACTTATTTTGTTGTATTACTCCTTTATTGTTTGTGTGGGTGTGCACTTGCCAGGGTGCACTGTGTGGATGACAGAGACAGCATGACGAAGTAGGCTCTCTCCTTTCCGTCACATGAACTCCACGGACCAGACTTAAGCTGTCTAGCTACGCTACAATAATGGATGCACTGAGATTTTACCTTTTCTCTGTTAGTAAAACACAAGTATCTTTGCAACTCTTCTGGTTTGCTTCTGTGATACACACCATAACTAAAACAACCTGGGGAGGAAAGGGTTCTTTTCCTTTTATAACTTCCAGACACCACCCGTCATCATCAGGACAGGAGCTTAGGGCAGAAACTTAATCAGAGGCCATGGGAAAAACGAAGGCTTTGCCCCAGCTGCTTTCTTACACCTACGACCACTGTCCAGGGGCAGCGCCACCCAGTGGGCTGGGCCCTCTCACATCAATCAGCAATTAAAAATATGCTCTACGGGCTAATCAGATGAGTGTCAAGTGTCCTAGGTGACAAACACTAACCACCACAGCAACTAAGAACGATAATGAAATGGCTCAGTGCAAATGCTGGGAAGGGAAAAGTAAAGACACCAAACCCAGAATTAATTCGGCCTGAGGTCTAACTGGAGAAACAGCAGCACCAACCGGAGGCTAAAGGTAATCCCAGCAGCCAAAAGGCGAGTGGGCGGGCCGTGATAGAGGCGGGGGCGGGGCGGGGTGGGATGGGAGGCCGTGAGTCGAGAGGGCGGGTGAGTGGATGGGTGGGGTGGGGAGATGCGGAGAGGCCCGAGTATCGAGGAGGGGGTAGGCGTGAGGTGGGCGGGGCGAGAGGGGAGCGCCCCTCGGAGCCTGCGCGGGAAGAGCTGCAGTACCGGAGTACGCAGGCGACGACTTCGGCTTAGAAAAGGTGTTGAGGTTTTTGTCAGGAGGTGGGATCTCTTACTTCTCATTGGTTCTCCTGGGACAGCGTTGTCTGTCTGACCGGCGTAGCTCACGTGAAGCCTAAATTTGTTCTTGATCTACCGTGTAGACTTTACACTACGGCAAGGATTGCGCGGGGAAGCGAGGGTGGCGCATGCGCCGCTGTGTCTGAATGGCCACGCACTGCTAATGTGATGTGGGGGCCGAGGGGAGGGTGCATCCCACGGAAGCATCCACACGGAAGCATCCCACATTGAGCGCATCCCACGGAAGCAGATCAAGATTCCTGAGTTTACTCCTTAAAGGGCCTTGGCATAGGAAATATCTAGTCTCCAAAAACTACCCCTTTGGGGCAATATTTCCCTCCTACTTCTTTCGGTTGTCCTGGCTGTGTCCCAGCCCTTCCTGAGGCTACACTGTTATGATTGTGAATTATTCAAGAGCCCTTGCAGTTTGACGCCATCTCTGGGCCGTGCCTCTTCCTTTTCTCATTCCTGGAGGGTATCTGCTGCTCCCACGTAATAGGAGCCTAAAACTTTACATTGTCCTTTCTCTGCCACTTTGGTAATTAACGAGTTTTGGGGGTGAGGTATTTTAAGTTTAAGACAGAGTGTCTGTACCCTATCCTGGCCTTGAACCCGCGGTAATTCTCCAGCCTTTCAAATGCTGTGAGATTACAGGTGTGAGCCACCATCATCAGTTGAAGATAGATACACTGTTAGGTTCAAAGAGCAAATCCCTGGTCTGGAGTTTATATTCTATGGTATGAAACTGTATTAAAAAAAAAGAGAGAGAGAATCCGACGCCCTTCCCTGGCTTATGAGCCACTGAATATACATAGTGCACAAATATACACACATGCAAAGAAACCATACACACACATTAAAAAAAATTAAAATCTGGTTCTGCTGGGCCAGGTATGGTGGCACATTCCTTTAATCCCAGCATTCAGAGTCAGAAACACAGGCCAACCAGAGCTACAAAGACCTTGTCTCAAACGGCCCAGGTCTGTTGGTGCTCAGAGTGGA